TCAAAGACCTGTGTGTAAGTCATGAAACCATAAAACTCTTTGAAGAAAAAAATCTCTTGAATGTAAACATGAACAACTTTTTCCTGAACACATCTCCTCAGACAAGGGAAACAAAATAAAAATGAACAGGGGGACTACATCAAGCTAAAAAGCTTCTGTGCAGCAAAGGACACCATCAGCAGAACAAAAATGCATCCTACAGTATGGGAGTATACATTCACAATGGATTTATCCATTAAGGGGTTAACATCCAAAATATAGAAAGAACTCATATGCCTCAACACCTAAAAAACAAATAACACTATAAATAAATGGGCAGAGGACCTGAATTGACACTGCCCCAAAAAAAGAAATACAGATGGCCATCAGGCACATGAAAAGATGCTCCACATCGCTAATTATCAGGGAAATGCAAATTAAAACCACAATGATATATCACTTCATGCCCAGGAAGATGGCTAAGATCAACAAGTCAAGGATCCACAAATGTTGGTGAGGATGCTGAGAAAGGGGAACGCCTCTTACACTGCTGGTGGGAATGTAAATTAGTTCAACCATTGTGGAAAACAATGCGGAGGTTCCTCAGAAAACTAAAAATAGAAATAGCACTTGACCTAGGAAATCCACTGCAAGGAATTTACCCTAAGAATGCTAGGTCCAAGTTTCAAAAAGACATATACACCCCCATGTTTATCACAGCACTATTTACAATAGCCAAGAAATGGAAGCATCCTAAGTGTCCATCAGTAGATGAGCGGATAAAGAAGATGTTGTACATATACACAGTGGAATATTATTCATTCATAAAAAGAAAACAAATCCTACCATTTGCAACAACATGGATGGAGGTAGAGAGTATTATGCTCAGTGAAATAAGCCAGGCAGAGAAAGACAAGTACCAAATGACTTCACTCATTTGTGGCGTATAAAAACAAAGCAAAAGAGAAGGAACAAAACAGCAGCAGACTCCAGACATGGAGAAGGGACTAAGGGTCACCAAAGAGGAGTGGAAGGGGAAGGTGGGGGAGAAGGGAGAAAGGGATTAAGGGGCAGTGCCATTGGTAATCACAATGTAGGTAGTGATGCCGGGGTTCTTGTTTGCGGAGCCGAAGAATGAGCTCCACAAACAGTCAAGGTAGGAGAGCAAGGTACAGGCTTTTATTTAGAGATACAGTGAAAGGACAGAGCTCCCGGCTCATGCCAGGAGGGAACAAGAGAGTCCCTTGTGATGCATTGTCTAGGGGGTTTTATAGGCAGCTGAGGATTTTTCGAGAACATGAAAAAAACTTAGGGGTGTGGGCTTTTTAAGTGGTCCCTGAATATTAAAAATTGACTTAACTGTAAGGAATTTCCTGCCTTGATTTCTCTCTGGGACACCAGTGCGTTGGTCTGGGAGCACATCAAAAGGCTGCCTGCCCAGCCCCCAGGTGGGCTGAGGTATTGTCTACTTGATAAAGAATCTTGCCTCTTGAACTTCCTGGGGGTTAAAATGCAATCTTATCTTTAAGATGGAATTCTTCTTGCCTTTTACCATGTCATCTACAGCTGGGACTGCATGCTAAGTTAGCTGCTCAGTTTGCAGAATTACCTGGTCAGATCTGAAGGAGGAAAGACAGCACATAGGCCTGGGCCTTTTAGTATGCTAAAGTGAATCTTACACATGGTTACAAATGATTAGCATAATAAAACATGTGCTACTCTTCTTTATCTGGGGAACATTAACTGATTTCACTGAAGAATGATTCTAGAGCTCAATGTTTAACATAGAGTTTTAGCAGGGGGTTTTCCTTGCATGTAGTTAATTGCTCTGACTGCAGATATCCCACCCTGTGCCCTCCAGAGGCCCTCACTCTATTCTGACTACATCTATGGTCCCTGTCTCAGTAGGTCATGGGGATGGTAGAACAGCACAGAGAATATGATTAACGACTCTACAACATCTTACTACATTGATAGACAGCGACCACAATGGATGGGTTGAGGACTTAATATGGGTGAATGTTGAACCACTGTGCTGTTTATGTGACACCATCATAAGATTGCATATCAATAATAAATTAATAAAAAAGACATGGCCAAACACTTCTGGAGGTCCAGAAATGTTGATGTTTCACTATTCCTGAGTAAAAGCCAACAGATAAGGCTGGAGGCTTGAAGGAAGAGGCAAAACTGTGGAAGACTCTTAGTATAGAGTAGGCAGATTGAACAGAACTGCACATTCTACCCCTAGACAGCTCTTAGTGTCTCGCTGGAACTTGAGTGATGGAACAAGGAAGAGTCTGGAGAAACTTTGCCTCACTATTATTCTCCTTCTAAGGGGTATCATCTTACCCCTCCCATCCTGGCATGCAGCCATTCCTTGTATTTCTTGACAGTCAGGAAAGTAAGAGTGAGAAAACAGCACAGACTAGAGGGGCCCTGTGATGCAGTATGCTGGAACCAGTGTGAATCATAACCAATGGCAGCCTTAGACTCCAATCCTAGCTGTCACTGACTGGCTTTGTGACCTTTTGGACATATTAAATAAGCCTCAGTTTCCTATAGTGTTAAATGGGACTATTAAAATATTTCTTGGAGAACTGGTGGGAAGATTGGAGCAAAAGAAGGGAAACAAGCCAACACAGTGCCTGACACAAATGTATTACTACAAAAATTGGTAGCTTTACATTATTGCTAGTCCAGATGCTGTCAAGAAAACATGCTAAAAATGTGCACTGTGAGATGTGCCTGACCATAACACTTCGGTTATCTAAAATAAAGACCTGATTTGTGACATGCAGGGCAGGCATCATACATCTGCTTTGCGTCTGAATAGTTTCATGAAATTACCTTGTGCCCAGGTAATGAAACCTCTCTTCTCCAGAGCACTTTTCATCTCTGAAAGGACTGTGCTTTCCGGGCAGCTGTCCTACACCTGGGCTTAAACAAAACTCTAATAACTCTTTTCTGGAATTTTGCTCTGGGATTTTCTTTTCGTCAACAATGCTACATCTTCCCCTTGGCAGGCTTCTCTCTCTTAGTGGCCCCAGGAGAGCTGATGTGCTAGAGGACCCAGAAACTGCACCACCCAAATAATCAGACCAAAGAAAATTTGACACCTTAATCTGCTTGCTCCACTTCCCCCAAACCACAAACATGTAAAGAGTAAGGGTCCCAGAAGGCTGAAGAATGAGAGGCTCTTAGTTTAGCATGTAGGCAGGATCCTACTTTAAGGTCCCAGATTTTGAATTGGATACTCTCTTACCTCACAACTCCACCCCCATCCCATTTTCCAAAACCCCTTTGGCTCAGGCTCTCCAGTTACTCATTTTCTCATCACTGAAAATCTTGCCCCAAGAGTTCAGTTTTCCTAGAAGTGCTATGATAGGTGAGATTACTGAAACTTGGTGGGGGGTGGTACCTCCCAGGCAACTGCAGAGAGCGCCTGCACAGTGGCTTTTCCAAGCAGACAGCTCTTACTTGGCTTCTGTACAACAGCATGACTTAGGGCGCAAAAGGGTATATCTCCCCTCTTCCTGTCCCCTCAACCCCGGAGAGATGGCTGTGTTGTTTCCTTCCAAGGCTGAAAAAAATGTAAGGAAAGTCTTAAAACTCACTCCCATGTAGGAAGTAGCAGTTAGAGGCAGCCCTTAGTGATTAAATGGATGAAAATGCAGAAAGCTTGTGGGTGCCAGGTGAAGAAACATAAAACCTACACTACTAGTAGGCAGGCCCTCTTCTGCCATATGTAACTTTCCATGTAACATCCAGTACAGAACCAGGTCTCCTTTACAGGAATTGTTATCTGCCTATTCTCTAGGGAAGACCTGGGGAGAGCCATTATTAGGGTTAGAAGCTGGAGAGGGATTCAGAAGAAGACAGCCAAAATAGTAACACTCAGCTGAACAGCTTCAATGCAGAAATAAACTGCACAGGCAGAGGTTGCCTCCAGAGCTCTACTAGGTGGACTGTTTAGTATGACCCAAGATTCAAGACCAGCTTCCTTCAGAACCATTGTTGATTCCCAAGGCCCACTTTCTGAGGACATGGGCCTTTGTTATCTCTTCCACAGGTTTCTCCCTCCCATTTCCCCCATTCTCGCAGCATTACCTTTCTGAGCCTCTGTTTTTCTTTGTTTTTTTTTATTGAAGTATATTTGATATACAATATTATATCTGAGCTACTTTTAAATCCTCTGAGGGCATTTTACGTACTGACTCTGACTTCATGAATCCTCCCTCACCGTCCACAACCTCAGGTTCACAATAGAAGTCACTAAAGGACAGCTTGTCCCCAACCCCTCATACCACCACCCCTGACCACTCTCCCACTCATCCTTTGCTAGACAGCTCTGCCGTTTCTTGTACCCCATTGCCTTTTCCACCATCTTCCCCAAGTACTGAAAGTTTAGTTGCGGGTTGTTCCTGTGGACTCTCATAGCACTCTGAACTTACCCCTATTATACCACTTGCCACAGCAACAATATAATGCTGGTTTACTTCCAAGGCTGCTCTCTCTCAAGTCCTGAGGCTCAGCTGGATTTTCATCTCCCTTTAATTTCCAGCACAAATTACTGTGCTCAGAGCATAGCAGGTACTTAAAAAATATTTGTTGAATAAAAGAGTGCCTAAGAATTAGATCTAATTCATCATATATATATATTTTACAGTCTGGAACAGCAAAGCAAATACAGGTAAATTCCAATCTTTTTTTCCCTGTTTTTACACAACAGTAGACACAAATGGAGGACAACCACAGATCAGTAAGTCTGTGTTTGTTTTTGTTTGTGTGTGTATTATTACTTAAATTTTGTAACAAACTATTTTACTGATTATTTCAAACACTTAAGGAGCAGCTTTATAATATCTTCCACATCAAAGAAAGATAAATATTACCAATACATCTTACACAGCTACCTGAATGTTTATATTGAAACAAGACAGGGATGACAAGCAATTTTATCTATAAACACTGATCATGAACCTAATCCAAAGGTATAGTAAAAAGGAAGGAAAATACTATTAGAATTGGAACACAAATAACAAGCACAATTTGTACTTTCCACGCCAGCCCTGCCTGATTTCTGATTTGGTGTCCCAGTGCCCATTTCCCCAAGGCCTCTTTAGCTGATGCCACCCAGCTGAAGTGATATATTTTCCCAAGACTTCATATGGGCCAAAGAAGAACATGACAGTTGCCTTAGATTTGGCTCTGGCCTCCACATCTTCAACAGCCTTCCCCTATACTGCTCTGGCCAGTCCTGTGGTCTCTTTCTGTAGAGACTGGCCATATACTCCAGAGCCTTCATTTTGGTGTTTTCAAGGTAGGCTCGACGACCCCACAGAAGCTCATATTCAACTGGATTCGAGTAAGACAAAGGCCTGCATTTCAAGTAGCACTGTCTCATTAGCTTGCTCATGATGGCATGTTTTCTCCATACATCCACATCAAATCTCTGAAGATAGTTCCAGACATTGGCCTCTTTAACAGGGTTGCCCATCAAAAAGAGCAAACCCAGGATTGGCATCACATATTCTTGAGTTGGTCTCCACAGGCTCTCTATCATCATTTGCTGTTCTTCTGATTATGGTTGCTGGATAAGGAGGTAGATGTGCTCACTGGTATCAATTTCAATGAGGGAGAACTCATAAAACAAATCAAAGATGAGAGTAGCTCAACTGAGAATGTTTGGATACACTTTCTCAAATTCTCTGCCAGCGTGAGCCAATAGCTCATCCTGATGTATAGGCAGCAACACCTCGGTGACATTAATAGCCAATTGGAGCAAGTCATTTGCCTTATCATTCATAGTGTCCTCTAACTAGAACTCCAAGCCAGCAGCCTGGCTTCTTTCTTTGGCTTTGTCAGCCTCCAGGACCTTGTTATATTCTTCTGGCCAACTCCAGGGTTCTTCAGCATGAGCCTGTGCCACAAACGTCAAGGCTTCCATCTTTGTGATTTCCCTGTGGTCTCTAGAGCCCCACAAAAACTCAAATTCTAGGGGATTAGTACCATACACTGGCCAGTACTCCAAGAACTGCGTGTGCACAAACTCAGTAGTAAGTGGGCTTCTTGTGTTCCCAAAGAGGTTGTTGACTCTCTGAGGCTCATCCAACCTTTAACAGCAGGTCCCAAATGGAGACCTCTCTTGTCCGGTTGCCATTCAGGAGGATGTGGCCTAGAACCAAGGCCAGGAGACCTGTCTTTGACATGTCTAGGGATTCTGCTATATGACCAGTGGTCTGGAGACCTCGTTTGCTGATTAGGCTGTAGATGTTGGCCTGGGAATCAAGACCTCTTAGGTTTGACCCAAAGACCTGATCCAGGTGGGCTGAAGCTCCCCTGAGGATCTCAGGGAACTGATCTGAGTATTCTCTGAGGAACCCCAACATCTCTTTCTGCTGAATAGACCCCTAGTCTGGCTTTTCATTCGCATGAAATTCACCAAAGCAATCGACCTGTCTTCCAAAGGGTTGTGGACCCTGAGCACCCCCAAACGTCGGAACTGCTAGTCAATCAGAGCTTTGAGGTCGTTCGGGTCCTTCTCAACTTTGGAAATGCTGACACCCTGAGGGTCAACTGACGCCTGAGGGTCCTGGGGGTCATCAGGAACTAGCATGGAGGTGGGGGACACAGAGGCGTTAGTATCCTGCATCTCACCCTGGCGGTCGCTATAATCTACAGTGGTCTCTGCGCTGCCGTGGCGTGCATTCTGGCTTACCAAAGACATGGTTCCAAGAGACAGTAGCAGGAACAGGGATATCAGTGATCCGTCGGAGCGAGGATGTTAAGTAATTCGGAGCCTGAACACAAAGCCAAAGCCAGGGACCCGGGACCAAGTGTGAGAGCTGGTAAGAAGAGCAATCTTTCTACACAAACATCAGGTAGCAATGACTGCAACCCTGCACGTTTAGCTTTGCCTCAGCCTACGCAGGCGCAGTCGGGTTCTGTGACCTAATAGCCAGGGACCCGGGACCAAGTGTGAGAGCTGGTAAGAAGAGCAATCTTTCTACACAAACATCAGGTAGCAATGACTGCAACCCTGCACGTTTAGCTTTGCCTCAGCCTACGCAGGCGCAGTCGGGTTCTGTGACCTAATAGCCACGCCCCACTCCCAGTCCCTCACTCCTGCCCACCACTTTTGCTAGGCAGCCAAAGCTGGTTCAAGTGGATGTGCCAGACTCAAACTTGTTAGAGAAGAGAATCTGTGAAAGAGAGAACAAACAGGTGAAGCAAAGGGGACAAGGGATGGAGGATGTTCAATGATGATGGTCCATTTGAAGTTTTTCTGTGAGATATAAAGCACTATGCTAATAGGCAGTGGAGGATTCAGAGAGGAGGAGGATGCTAACATGATAGTTATTTTACAAACTCATTAATTCATCCATCCACTCAACAGATATTTCTTGAGTATGAGCCATATGCCAGGCATGGTGCTGGATACTACGGGTTTGCCAGAGGACAAACATAATGATTATCCCCTTCTGTGTGGGGCGTACATTCTGGGGTACAGTCAAACAGTAATAGTAATGAGAGGTAACCTTTATGGAGCATTTACTGTGTACCAGGTACTGTTTCTGGTTCTCTCACTTTCCCCATAGTAAATCGCTTAATGCTAGCTATAAGGTAGCTGCTCTTAATGGTGTTCGTTTTACAGATGAGGATCAGAAAGGTGAATTTACTTGTCCAAAGTCAGAAAGTAACAAGTGAAAGAGGCCAGGATTTGAACCCAGGTCTGTCAGAGTCTCAAGAATAAGTATTTTCTCTCACACATACACCCTTCAAAGAGTGTTTAGCATTATTTATTAAAAATGACTCATGCAAAGTAGATGGAAATAGGTGTTTTAAAGGAAGGTTAATTAACCTGTATAAATACAGAAAGAGCAAGCAATGAATTATAGCTTAGTCTGAGTTGTCTTGGATTGGGACTACATGCCTCAAGGAGGAAGTAAGCTCTAAGTGATGAACAGGATGGGAAGAATTCATAGGGAAATCTAGACTAAGAGATCAACATCAGAAAAAGCCCAAAGGTATGAAGGTACAAAATAAGTTTGTGTAACAGCCAGTCTCCCAGGATGGCTAGAGCCAAAGTGTACTAAACTGGATGGGAGACGAGGATGAAGGTGGTGAGACAGGAATGACTGGAATTCCTATTTCTTCATTTAGCAGTATGTCAGAACTGGTTAGGACCCCACAAGGTAGGAATGGTCACAAGAGAAAAGGGCCAGAATAGGGCCTAAACAGGGGGTTGGTCATGTGTTTGGAGAGACATAATCCAAACACTTTTACCATGAAAAGGGGCCAGCTGCTTTATTTTCTGGGAGTGCTAACAAAACAATAGTGCTAAATCTTAGTCCTCAACATCAAGATAAATAGTGGAATATTAGAAAGGAAAAAAATTTAATAGGGTTGTTATCTGCAGCCACAACTGAAATACTTCCTTAAATTCTTTATGGTAATAAATACTATTATATTGCATTATCTTATACCCTAGAATTCTTTTAGAGGGCACTGCTTTCACATGTGAGGACCAGGCACCTATCTCTGACATTTTCTACACCCCACGAGTTTTCTTACAGTAGAAAAGCAGCAGTTCATGACCATGGATTTGGCTAAACTAGGCTAAAGAAATCAATGTTTATGCAAGTGAATGTGTGTTCTATAACATAGAAACATGTGGTTTGTGTGCTGATTGTATCTTAGGAGAATCTTGTGGAAAGAAGCACCATCTGCTGAGCTGCTACAAAGGTGTAGTTAAGATAAAATCTGACAAGATCCTTGGTCTTGCTCTTTCCCCTTCACCAAAAAGGACTTCTTGTTTCTTCTTTAGATACGGAATGCCCAGGGGTAGATTTCCAGAGAGGATTTTTAATTCTCCAGTCATAAAATAAAAGATAACATTTTCCCTGAAAATAAGCTCACATTTTGTCATGAGGTGAACCTTCTACCCCTCATCTAATTAAAAAAGGCACTAAATGGCAACATCTTACTTCTGAAATGGCGTCCTGATCCCATTCCACAGCATTCAAGGCCTTCACCAATTGGTTCCTTCCTAGCTCTCCAGCTTCATTTTTTTATCCCCCAGCACATTCTTCCATAAAATCTGCTCCTAGCCACATTGAGCTACATGCCTGGTCACAGCCATTTCTATTCTACTGGTCTCTAAAGAGTTCTAGTTATTGCTAAATGAAAAATGAAGGAGCTGTGCCTACACCTGTGACATATGGCTTATTTTCCAATGTATTTAAGTGGGATTGTAAAAAGATGGCATCATATTCTCCATTCTGAACTCCTTTTGATACTTTCTGACCTCCTTTTTTCACTTTAAAAACATGAGTGTCTTTCCATACAATTGTTAACCTTTAGCATACTTTTGATTATTTTAAAAGTGCTTTTGCTGAGATATAACATGTATAGAGTAAAGTAGAGCTTGATAAATTACAGATTTAACATGTAATATACCACCATTCCAATCAAGAAATAGAACATTACCAGAATCTCTGAAACTCCCATGGCACTCTACACCATCTCTCCCCTCACATTTGTCCAAAGAGGAAACCCTTATTCTAACCTCTAGCATCACAGATTAAGTTTTGCTTGTTTATGATCTCTGTATAATATCAATGGAATTTTACAGTGTGCACTCAGTTGTAGTTTTCTTTTCCCAATAAAATCCAACTATATCTTGTTATTTATCTATGTTGTGTATAGCAGTATTTGTTCATTTTCAGTATTATACACTTTATCTTTGTATGAATGTACTACAACTTATCCTGTCAATTGTTGGTTGACATTTACTTTGTTTCTAGTTTGTGGCTATTACAAATAATGCTGCTATGGACCTTCTTGTACCTGTATTTTGGTTCATGGGTACATTTTTGTTGGAAATAAATCTATGAATGGAATTGCTAGATTTTAAATGTGTGTGTTTTTAGTTTTCATAGATATTTCCTGAGAGATTTTGAAATTGGTGTACCAATTGACACTCCCACCAGTAGTGTATTAGAGTTCCTCTTGCTATATATTCTTGTCTACACTTGGTATCAGTCTGTTTCATTTTAAGCATTCTAGTGGTTGTTCTATGGTAAATCACTGTGGATTATTTTATTTTTCATATTTAACTTTTTAAATTATTTCTCAAACAAGATTTGTTATTTGTCTTCCAAGGTCACTGGGTATATTGGCAGAAAATTAAGGATAGGAGATGCTGGAAGTTAGCTGGAAGACAGCTGCAAGAAGTGATAGTTGGTAGACACTAAAGGGAAGGAGATGAAAACAGTATTCAAAGCTGAAACTAAAATTGAAATACTATAATTGTGTTAGGGCATTCAGGGGAAGGACAGAAACTCTTAGATGTCCAAATTGTCCTCAAATTTCTCACTACATAGTATAATTATTAAATACCTAGACTTATCAAGAAATGTTAAATTCTGCTTAAGAAAACTGATAAATATACAGCCAAGAGTGTTCAAGGTGGTGTTGTAGGAAGATCCTGAGCTCATCTCTTCCCACAGACACAACAAATATACAATTGCATATGGAATGATTTCCTCAGAAGAAAGTCCTGAAAGTGAATGTACAGAGCTTCCACAATGAGGGACAAAGGGGCAGCACTGAGATGGGTAGGACCGGAAGAGACAAGGTCTTGCCAGAAAATGAAAAACCCACTCTAAGCATGGTGATCCACAACTGGGGAAGAATCTCAAAATCATGGAACCTCTCCCTGAGGAGCAAGGGGTTGGAACTCCACATTAGGCACTCCAGCCCTCACATCCTGCACAGGAAAGAAAAGCCCACAAAATCTTGGCTTTGAAAACTAACAGGGATTATGTCCACAAAATCCATAGAGCTATAGGGAATAGAGAATCTGCTTTTCAAAGGCTTTCACAAAGTCTCACTTCCCTAGGACCCAGCAATAAAACATCAGTTGGAAAAACACTTAGAGCATGGGTGAATGGGACCCACTTAGTAGTCCTGGGGCATGTGTTGAGGAGGCAGCAAACTGCTGAGACACCCTCTGGGGGCGGAGACACTGCTATGGGACATATTTGAAAACACAATCTACCTTGCTAGTGCTGATGCTTGTGAGTGCCATCTTGGAATGCTCACTTTAACCTGCTAAGTCTGGCAGGTGTTCCCTGCCTACCACCTCAACCACAGCAACAACTATGGCACCCCAGCAGACTGGAAAGTGGAGAGCCCACTCCCCACTGTATCAGCAGCTGCAGTACCCCAACCAGGTCAGCAGTGAGAGAGCACCACCTAATGCTCCAGACTCAGCAACCAGGTTGGGAAGGCAGAGAGCCCTTTCTACCACCATAGCCCCAGCCAGCTTGGCCAGGTAGAGAGTCCCAACCACTGCTGCTGTGGCAACAGAAGCAGCCCCTGTGCCCTGGCCAGTTGGGTTAGGGGAAAACCCAGTCACCACTACAGTGGTAGCTGTGGCAATACAACCACTGGGATGGAGGGAGAGCCTCACCCACCATCTTGTCACAGCCACTGCTCCACAACAACAGGCAGGTACACAGAACTCACATAGGTGATGCCTCTTGAGGACCTGGCTCTGGTGACGAGAGAAGGTTGTTTATTGGCCCCATGGGACATATCCTCTGCAAGGTCACTCTTTCAAGACTAGGAGAGTAGCCAGTTTGCCTAATACATTATAAGAAAACACAGGAAATTAGGCAAAATGAGGATAAAGAGGAATATATTCCAAATGAATGAATAAGA